GTAGTAGTAGTCGTAGTCGTAGTAGTAGTCGTAGTCGTCGTAGTCGTCGTAGTCGTCGTAGTCGTCGTAGTCGTCGTAGTCGTCGTAGTCGTCGTAGTCGTCGTCGTAGTGGTCGTAGTAGTCGTCGTGGTAGTCGTCGTAGTAGTCGTCGTAGCAGTCGTCGTAGTAGTCGTCGTAGTAGTCGTAGTAGCTTAGTAGTAGTACTAGTACTAGTAGTAGTAGTAGTAGTAGTAGTAGTCGTAGCAGTCGTCGTCGTCGTAGTCGTCGTCGTAGTAGTCGTCGTAGTCGTCGTCGTAGTCGTCGTCGTAGTCGTCGTAGTAGTCGTCGTAGTAGTAGTCGTCGTAGTAGTCGTCGTAGTCGTCGTCGTAGTCGTCGTAGTAGTCGTCGTAGTAGTCGTCGTAGTAGTCGTCGTAGCAGTCGTCGTAGTAGTCGTCGTAGTAGTCGTAGCAGCTTAGTAGTAGTACTAGTAGTAGTAGTAGTAGTAGTAGTAGTAGTAGTACCTGTGCTAGTCAAGAGCAAACGGAATGTTAATGTTGAACGTGTGATTGGCAACATAACAAGACGGACGAGCAATAACAAGGACAAACGTTCACACATCACAGCAGAAACAGCAGAGAATGACAGATCTTCTGCACTGGGTGAGGCTTCGGCAAAAAGTCTCATTATTTGCTGAATTAGTTACAAGGCCTTTGGCTTTGCGGACGGGTGCTCACTCTTGCAGAACCTGAGTCCCGGGAGTTATCGAGAGTAGCCTTTGGCATCAGAGTATTTTAGTACTCAAGTATATACCATGGTTTAATGAATACTGTAGAATAATACACTCTAAGATACTATATTATGGTTTCTTATAATGTTGATGTACTATACTGTACTATAATTTTCGCAACTCCTAAGTCCACCAGCAGTGTTCGTAGACTCAGCGCCACCATGCGCCACCGGAAGATAGATTGAGCCGTGAGGTGAGCCAGGAAAACACTGGCGAATCTGTTCTCAAGGAGTGCAGCATCCTGAAAGAGCTGCAAGTAGCTGCAGTGGCAGATGTCGTGTGCCTCGACATGGAGTTCCGAGAGGGTTGTCTCAGGATTCATAGTTGGAGTTTGAGGCATGGGATCACACTGCTTCGTTATCCGAATTGGTTGTATTTAGGGTAACTTGCTTGTGGAAAGGAGTGCTGTTCATTGCTGGACGGAATTCGAGGTTGTAGTCCAGTCCTGTAGGTCTCAGCCGTGTGGTTTTGATGTGACGGTTCCAAGAATCGCCATTGCCATCATCACCATCACCTGCACCATTACCATCATAATCATGATGAGATGACTCGGGTGACTCAACCTTCACGTTTGTGTTTTCTCGCAGCCTAGCAGCAGACCAGTGCATGCGTGCCATGGAGCTGAGGCGCTGTGAGGCGACGTGCCAGGTTGACGTGGGAGGAGGCGCCAGGTGTTGAGAGAGAACAACACCCAAAAGCACAAGTCGCAGAGCGCACAGTAGGCATTGCTAGTCAATCATCAGGTTTGTCAATTTCCATATCTTGTCAGAATGGTGCTGGTCTCAGGGTCGTTTATACATCATGGAACCGCACATGTGCCCGTGATAGGTGCGTGCAGACCTTGCCGCTGTTTGCCTACATGTCTGCAGACACATGTGCTTTGTTGCCCGAGCCATACTCCCAAGCCCCAAACGAAACGAGCAAGAAGCAGGAGGGGCTGCACATCCAGATCCTTGAACCCTAAACTCTAGAACCCAGAAAATCCACGGCCCTAAACCCTAGCCCACCCCTCAACAGGGAAACAAAGGAAACCTGGTTTTGCAGAGGCCAGCGTTCTGCAGCAGTTCTGTCACCTTACCTACCAGAAACTCGGCAAGGAGGGCCTCATGTGGACCCTGAGCATAAGTAGGATGTCCAACAGGGCCGGTATGGCTGTGTTGGGTGAAATAAGAGTATAAAAGAGTATATGAGTTCCGATATGGGTTGCCATATGTAAGTGTTGCTGCTTTTCTACATTCCTTACTGTAAGGGTTTCGAACCGACATGCACAGAGATTGAAAGTCAAGCGTGTGCGATACTAAGGTCAACTGTCAGGTACCTGTTTTGTTTGGAGTTTCGCAAAGAGGGGCCGCCCAAAAAGGGACCCCCCACTTGGCCCCTAAACCCTAAACCCTAAACCCCAAACCCTAAACCCTAAGCAATTCTACTGTTTCCAATGCTGTGCCCGAGGATGCGAAGCAGGTCAGCTTCACGAGACTTGGCTTTAGAGGTCCGCGGGAATCTAGAGGCCTACACACAACCCGAAGAATCCCTGAACCCGGTCTGAACCCAAGAACCTACATGTCCCTAAACGTCCCTAAACCCTAAATATCTCTAGATGCCATGCTGGTACTCTCCGAAGGGTTCCTGAGTATGACTAGCGAAAGTCTTCCTTGCAGGTGCTGATTATTGTCACTCTTGTTTATTGTTTGTTTATGTGTTGATGACGTGTGTACGAATTGGCGTGTTTACTATCGCAGAAAGACGTCATGTACCATCGTTTTTGCACTTCTGCAGTCTTGTCATGCTTCTGCGTCTTCACAATGATTTGAAGATGTGTTATTAGAGCGTTCAGACCCCAGAATTTCATGCATCCCTCGATGTCAGGTGATTACTTCCGAGACTCCTCCACCCGAAATCCGAAACCCTAACCCCCTATAAAAAAGGGCAACAAACCTTAAACCCCCAAAGCCCCTAAGCCCCCAAAGCCCTACCCTAAACCCTAA